TACATTCTCAAACGTTTCGCCGGCCTCGTAGTCGGCATCATCAGTGAGCCTTGCCATTATCCGCACCAAGCTACGAACTCGTCAAAGAGACAAGTGAAGTCAATCCCTCAACAAACGTTCTGCCGAGAACGGTTACTCTAAACCAGGCCGGAAAGATAAGTGATAGTGTAACCGTTTTCGGCAGAACGTTTGTTGAGGGATTGACTTCACTAGTCTCTTTGACGGGTTCATAGCTTGTGACTCGTCATATAACCAACATAGTCAAAATTGGGACCCATTATTACATAAGTCAAGAAAGCCAACCGACTCAGTATCAACTTGGGACTTTTGTAAGAATATGTTCCCGAAACGAAGGAGGATGTCTCATGTTCTACGTTAACCTGAAGGTCACAGTAAAACCAAACGGCCGCGGTGCAACAGGAATCAGCCGTCATCTTCTGGTAAGATCGACCTACTAACCACTTATCATGTACTTTCATACGAAATGAAAATCTTCACAACAATTCATAATTTCAATCATCAAAGTCCTCATTTCGTATGAACGTTTGGGTGTAATGGAATGTCGTGAAGTTTTTATTGTCTATTTGCTCGTAGAACTTCTCGTTTCACCATTAATTCGTGCCAAGCTTTTGTCTGTCCTTCATTGGCAGGCATTGTTAACTTAGAAAATATTATTTTACAAGAGTATGATTGCTAAGACAAAATGGCCTATATTTTTTCATTACATGAAGACTAAATATTATAGCAGATATCAATTTCGAAATAGTGTCCGCAGGTAACAAGTCATTTTGATAAATCGTATCCGTGCCAAGAATAACACCTCTCACTGATGGTACCGGCGAGAAGTCTGCAAATGCACCTGTTTGACATTTCGAAACTGGACATTTTCATAAATGCCATGACAGAGGACGTAAGTCTCTGAACGTTCCACAAAGTCTCCCCGTCGCTCCGACCAAATGGCGACAACGAAATGAACCTACTACTATGCAGCCAAAGGTCCACACCAACTTGGTATTCATACCTACGACTACCAAATCCTAGGTCGTGAGAATCAACCTTCTAAACAGTATGGCCTCAGAAGACCGGCATGGTTTCATCATTGGCTGTCTCGACTGGGCATGCTGCTGACTCATTTGGAGATAGCCCGCCAGATACATAGACCCATTACTCACAAACACACCCTCTCACATAAACGCATACATGCATAGACATACACGCACATTCATACAGGCATATCGTGTTATGCTGTAGCCGATCCCAGCATTAATTCTGCTCAATTTTGCCTGCAAAAGATTCAACTAATTTAGTGGCCCGTGCAAATCGGGTGTGATAGAAGGAACACAAAGACTCCTTGTATATGGATATACAGGAATTAATGATCTAAAGCTATGACAGTACGGGATTCACGGGATATAGCCCTAATCTGAGCTGTATTCTGTTAATGATCACACCCTGATTGCTTTATCTAGGGGATACATTTCACTTGTGATAGGTGAAGTGAACTAGCTTTGTTTGTACATTTCTTAGGGTTGCGCATCCTAAATGCGAATATGGAGTTTATGTCGAGAATCAGGGCCGGCCCATAGTTTCAGTTGCTTTTGAGCACTTCAACAAAAGCTGGATCACAAATAACTGGAAATGCAAGACATTTTCAAGACAATCGACATGAGGTATTCGTTTTTTATTATGCAAGTATTATGCAAGTTCAAGAAAGGGTAGCTTAAAGAAAACTTTTGTGGTCCATGTCTGAAATCAGAACAATTTGCTTAATTGCTAACACCGTAAACAGCCGAACAAGTGGTTGTATCACCAAATCTATCGTTCTCCGGAGTTTATTGTACATCTTTCGAGAGAGCATTAGTGATTTTTATACTTACTCGTTCGTTCATTTCAGCCCCAGCTAAACCGCACACCGACATGCTTGCCTTGTGAACAGAGCCATCTGTGGTTTAACTCGTTAAAATAAGTGATGATCTTCTTTAAGCAGAACACTAAATTTGGCATAACATCATGTCTAAGTGTTTGATGGTCTCGAGAGTTGCGTCGATTTGATGAAAGTTTACAATTTTTGTTCGTCTGGACTCAAGCGACAGAGGGGAGCAGTTTGCCGGTCTGTATCTGTTGCACAAGACATTGCACGCTCTAGTTTAGCAACCAAGATGACGAGGGAAGGACAAACTGAGAGGAATGAAATGGGAATTGGTGCGAATGGTCTCACCTGCAGTTGTTTAAATAAGAACTGACGAGCCGAAGGGGAAAAGAAAAACCGGACGAGACGAAAGACGAATGCAAATGTCTTCGTGCAAGCCGATGGGAGTGGGGCAAAACTTAAAATCCCTGAAGCAAGGCCGGCCAGCCCCCGTGACTACTCATTGCACATCTGGCCCAGATCCCAGCGCCCAGACGTCCCTCTTCGTCGCCTCCCCACACACACTCTTGCCATGCACACTGCTTTCGTTTTGCAGAAGATGTGGACTCTTCTTGAGATGTGTTTGTACACAATTATCCAGTTCTTTTCAGCCTGCCCAGGTTGAGACATGCATTCTCGATAGACTCTCGCTTCCTCCTCCTTCCTTCGTCAAGCCCTTGGCCGCCCCCCATGCCCAGCCCAATATGGTCGTCCAGATGACGCCAATCTAAATCACACCACTTGACAGCACCCGCTTGTTTGTTATGTCCAGTCTGTCATGTTGGCATGAGGTCCGCCTCAAACGCCAGGCGTAGGCAGGGCAGCTGCAGAGCACGCAAAAATACCAATTAATTAAGGGGTGTACATGATGTCGAGAGGAGCAACACTTTGCGTGCGCTGGTGATACAAACAATTTTTCAGAAGAGTTATCATTTGTTTTCTCTTCAATTGATATGATGAAAGACGAGAAAAAACTGTTCAAGCCGGTAAAATCAACAATTTTACTTTAAACTAAAACGATTTTATAACTTATACAGGCCATTTTAGCCGCTGTTGTTATGTCTATCAGTTAATTAGAAAAAGTCGGTTGAGCAGATTTGTCGCTTTCGATAAACGAAATTGAAGTATATGAAGACCAAGATGTTGTGGCCGCTGGTATGGTGGCAGTCTCTTTTCGATTTATACAAGTGGGTTTACGTCGTTGTCGCAACTTGGTCCTGTTGTCAGGGCGACTATGTAGAACGC